GAGAGAGAGTAGAGAGAGAGAGAGAGAGAGAGAGGAAGAAAGAGAGAGGGAGATGAAAGATTATAATTTAATCGATTTTTTTTTTTTCAATAAAAAATATATAACTGCTTTTGTTGATATTCTCTTAATATTATACATAATTCTATGGTTTGTCAAGGTGATGAAGATGAATATTTAGATGGTAGATTCTCTCTCTCTCTCTCTCTTCCTCTCTCTCTCTTTCTTTCACTCCCTCTCCCTCTCTCCAATTTAATTTCTAAATTGTATATGATGAAATAAATGATGGAATCGATTGAATGAATTTTAGGATCAGTTTTACTTAAAAACTTAAAACTTTTGGGATCAGTTTTACTTAAAAACTTAAAACTTTTAGGATCAGTTTTACTTAAAAACTTAAAACTTTTAGGATCAGTTTTACTTAAAAAATTTTTTTACTTAAAAAAAATTTTATAAATGATGAAAAATCTGTTAACATTATTTTAAATTATTATTTCAACTAAATATAATATTAATATTTAATTAATATCGTAGTTAAGAAGAAAAAAAAACTTTCAATGGTATTTTACAATTTCAAATTTTTTTACAATATATTAAGAAAAGCTTGAAATATTTGACAATATTTTGTAAAATTTGATTTAAAAGGAAAACAATTAATTTATTAATTAAAAAATGCTTTATTTCAAATGGAATTATTCTCATAAAATTAAATTCTCATAAAATTAAATAAAATTTTAATTTATGTTTTGCATATGAAAGAATTTTTTTTTCTTTTTTTTATGATTAAAACTTATAATTTTATATTATTGAAAAATTATTTAATTGAAGAAAAAAAAGTGCAAAGTTAGTAGTTGAATGGAAAAAATGAAATGAAAAGAATAAAATGACAATTATTTAAATTTCTTAATAATAAATATATATGGTTTTGTCATATTCAATTCTCTAATAATTTGTTGATAACATTGATGTATGAATTATATGAATGCTATTTTTAGAATTTAATTTTGAGAAATTCCTCCAAAAAAAAAAAAAAATTAAGTTTTCAGTATAATAAAATGCGAGATGAATTTTTAAAAATGAAAAAAATTTTCTTTTCTGAGGAAAAAAAAATTCATCAAACAAAATGAATATTTCCCAAAAGGTTGTAATTTATATGAATGGTTTCATTTTCAAAATATGATATAATGTTGACATGCTTTCTAAGCGTTATACATTTCTCCCATGACACCTGCTAAATTTAGACTAAAAATGACAATGACAGATGGACTAAGGTCGACTACATCCGTCTTTTTTTTTTTTTTTTCTATTCAACAAGTTTTGAACCATTTGGTATAATAATAGTTTTTACTGATGGATATGCTCAATATGTTAATAACTTATTTAATAACCATAATTGTGACATGTCAACTTGAATGAGCAATTATGCATTTTATGGATGAAAGTATGCCAATAATGTTACATTTGGATGGGTCACCATAATGTCAAATCTTTTGGTATAACAACAATTCTCATTTGTTAATTTATGCAATTGATATTGAAATGATTTGGATCAAATTTGATCTGATCATTTGAATATTATTTTTAAATGGATCAGATCTGATTTTGCATATATTTAATAATTAATATATTTAAATAATTAATACATTTTCCTTTCTTTGTTGTAATTTTTTATGAATTTATTTTAATTTTAAAAGGAAAATTGTAAGTTTTGTTCTAAACCAAAGAAAAAAAAAAGATTGATTATTATTTGAGGACAATTTTTTTTTTTTTTGTTAAAATTTTTATTAATTGGTAATTAATTAATTTTATAATAGAATAAAATAATTCGACATGGGTAGAAATAATTTATTATAATGTAGAACGAATATAATTAATGATGACAAATAATCAGATAGATGGATAGATATGCATCAAAATGTTTTGTTTATTTTTGGATGATAGAAAGAGTGGCTACCATTGAATTTAGGCATATAATCTAACCAATGGATGGACAATTGATACAAAAGATTGATTTTGTGGAGGTTATATGGGAATGCAGGATGTCCACTCTTATCCTAATCTGTTCACTAAACAATAAGCGATGACAATAACGACGACATCATGTCAACAGAAATATCCTAAAATTAAAAATTATTCCAAATTTGATCACATTCATTTATTTCTTAAATTTTATTTTTCCATTAAATACTACAATTATTTGTTCTTTATTTTTTTTTTTTTTGCATTAATTTGACAATATTAATACAAAAAAAAAAAATGTTACTTAACAAATATGTAAGTAATAATTTGATAATTAAAATGATAATTAGCATAAATAAATAATAATTTTCTTAAAAAAAAAGAGATGAAAAATCAATAAATTAAGAAATGGAATGAATTCAATAAAAGATAATGGGAATAGATACAAATAATTCGTTATTTGAATAAATTTAAGAATATGAAAGATAAGAAAAGGAAGGAAAATGTTGGAAAAAAGAAATTATATGAAATAATAATTAACAAATAAATATATTCTAAAAATATAAAACGATTATTTCAATTACTATTTTGGGTGTTTTAATCAAATTTTATTTTTAAAAGTATTTTACAGTAAGGAGTAATTTTTTTTTTGATATGACGTATTTGTTATGTCATTAATTTATTCATAAAATTACTTAAGTAATTTAGCAATAAAATTTCAATTGAAAAATGATTTTGCATAAAATACACATAAAATAACAAAGATTTATTATCGGTATGTATAGTGTATAGATTTAATTTAATTTAAATTAAAAATTTTTTTAAAATTATTATTTTAAACTAAGCACATTACAGATTACAGAACACTTTTTTTTTGTTCAAATAAATTAATCTTAAATATTTAAATAGAAAATTCATAATTAAAATGTTAGAAGAAAAAGTATTGAAAATAATCTTGAATTATCATTTTTATAATATAAAATATCAATTCATTGATAATCATTTAATATTATTTTGATAAGAAAACACTCTTTTTTTCATACTATTACTTTCTCTAATAATTCATATCTATTTAACATTATCTGATAAAAAAAAAGAAAAAATGATTCCCTTGATAATGGTATAAATTAATTAAAAATATTCATTAAAACAATAAACTTAATATATGATGTATTACTTTTATGTATTAAGATGAATAATATTTTATTACTTATTTTTGCTAACAAGTAATCATCGTTAACAAAATAATCATAAGGAATCATAATCATAATATCATTATCATAATCATAATCATAAGCAAATATATGTAATTATCGGTGATTATTATTAACGATTATTTTGATAAATAATTTCGACTAATTAATTAATTAATTAATTAATATGGAGGATGTGTAGAAATTGATTCATAATTTAGGCAATATTAACAAGATGGCACATATGTTAGTATTATTATCAACAAAGTACTGATTTAAAAATAAATAATTAAATTTATTTAATCTTTTACAAAATTTGATTAAATATAATGCACATATGCTGGTTTTATTGTAAACAAAGTATTAATTCTAAATTGAATAATTAAATAATTCAATCGTTGCAAAGTTAATTATGCAAACTACAAAATCTTTTATTGAAAAATGTAAATAAATTAAAAAAAAAAAAAAAAAAAAAGGATGAAAAGTAGGAAATGGGATGATGTGATTGCTTTACCGGAAATAGTTTCGTCAAATAAAGTATACAATGAAGGTAAAATGTGTTTGTCACAGCAGGAGGTAAGGTCCATTTATTGGTTTGGTCCGGCAATATCGGAATCAATTTTTGATTGCTTTCAAAAAGAAGAAGGAAAAAAAAAGAAGAAAAAAGAAAAGGATGTGAAGGATGAAAAAGTCATTCAACATTTAAGTATCTATTCATTTGTATATATATATATATATGTAGAAATTATTTCAAATAAAAATATTTCAGGTTAAGTTCATTTAATCAATTAGTTTTTTCATTCCTTTTTTTATACTACTACATTTTTTTCTTTGATATTTTAAATAATAAATTTAAGTATTAAATTAAATTAGCTAAATTAATTTATTTTTATTAAATTAATCAAAGATATTTATTGATGATAACAATTGTTTTATAGATTGATGAAAAATGATAAGAAGAAATGATGGTTAAAGGATGTAAAGAAGAGGATCAAAGTAAGAGATGGTTAATAGGGATTCGGTTAGATTGAAGGCATATCATTACCATCAAAGGATGATATTACAAAAA